AACCCTTCTTGAGTTGTTGCATTGCCTTATGTTTTAGATAAAGGAATACTACTCGGTACCAGCTTTCATTAAATTTTGGTTGCTTAATTATTAGGAATACTTTTTCTGGAATTTGTGTTTACAAAAATGTATCATCTGCAGACTTTATTTTATTGATAAACTTAAAACAACAATCTCGTAAACCACAATAGCCAGCTGTGCTCTATGGATTTTGGCAATTAAATGTATCACTTATTCACTTCTTCTTTTCTCAAAATGACAAATAAATTTATAACACTTCACTTACAATTCTAAAAAATAATAAGTGTGAATGAAAGTTATACCCCTGATTTATGTCCGTTTTTTTTGTTAAGTTTTTTTTTTTATACATTATGCTATAAAGGTTGTACATTAAAATATTTTGGACAAACATACCCCTACCATTATTTTCCACTATTGTTACCATGTACATACATCCACAATATATTTTCTTATCTTCTTCATTAATAATAGTATATAAACATTAAATATTTGAGTTATATGTTAATTATTACATAAATATAAATATCAAATTTATAAAAATGATTTACATTATTATTATTATTATTATTATTATTATTATTATTATTATTATTATTATTATTATTATTATTTAGAATAATTTAAATATCTAAAATCTAAATAAATTTAAAATTTTAATATAATGTATTAATATTGGGCACCTATTTTTTGCGCATCGCGCATAAAAAATACTAGTTAATAAAATAAAAGGAAAAATGGTCAAACAGACCTTGAAACTTTATCTAATAAGTCAATTAAACCCCTAAACTTTTTAAAGTTGCAATTAAACTTAACATCTTATTTTAGTGTAATAAAATTCAAAAATCAATTAGTGAGCTGTTATTACATGTCACTAGGATTCCAGTCAATATTTCGGCAACCTCCGACTAACCCCGGGCGGTATTTTGGCAACAAATCAACCGACAACCATAGAATGGTCGCCAGTCAATTTTGAATTAACGGAGAAGGCAACTTTGAAGGACACCCAGTTGCCTTCTCCGAGAAGGCAATCACTAGGTTGCTTTCTCCGAGAAGGCAATCACTAGGTTGCTTTCTCTCCGAGTTGCCTTCTCCAGGTGAACCACGCACCACGCATCTTAAGAACACAAACCAAGTACCTAAAGTTTTAAAATGGCGCACCTTAAGTTTCAACAACTGACGCACCTTAAGCATACAAATCACGCACCTTAAGAAAAAAAATCACGCACCTAAAGTTTTAAAATGGCGCACCTTAAGTTTCAACAATTGACGCGGCAAACCACGCACCTTAAGAAGTAAAACAACGCACCTTAAGTTTCTTAAAAAACGCACCTTAAGTTCTCAACTCAAAACTGTTGCACCTTAAGCATAGAACCCACGCACCTTAAGAAGGAAAACCATGCACCTAAAGCTTTAGACCGACGCACTTAAGTTTCAACAACTAACGCACCTTAAGCACAGAAACCACGCACATTAAGCACAAAAACCAAGCACGTTAAGAAGAAAAATCATGCACCTTAAAATTCGACCTGGATGCAAAAAGACTAAATTGCCACCATGTATTTTTTTAATTATTATTAATCCTGGACGTTGATTTATGCAAGATCAATGATTCTCATCTCACCGCATATCCGCATGCACCTGGCGCACCAACCGCATTTTAACCTAATTATATATATATATATATATATATATATATATATATATATATATATATATATATATATATATATATATATATATATATATATCTAAAAACATAATAAGTCTCAATGAAGGTCATATCCTTAATTTATGTCCCTCTTTTTGTATGCAAATAAATGTGTACATTTTACTCTAAAGGTTGTACATTTCAATATTATTAGACAAAACTACCCTTACACCGTTATAACACCGTTAGTTTTTAATTCTAACATTGATAACACATCATTATTACCATACACCTATATCTATCATATCTTTTTCCTATTTTTAATTATCATTTTATTAAAATCATTATATAATTAATTTAATGTTTAATTATATTTTAATTAAATTTCTATGAATGATAAATTATACATGTGTGTGTACACAATACATATATTATTGTGTATATATAATTCAAATTATAATTTTTAATTATTTGTATTTATCAATATTTTAATATTTAGCATGAATTTTCGCGCATCGCGCGTACAAAGTGCTAGTATGTATGTATGTATACACACACACACACACAGACATACATACTAGTGTAAACCCATATTCAAATTGGATTTCTTAGAAAACCTTCCCAGTTCAAATTGGTACACTTTGTAAATCAATTTCTCATTCATACATTATCCATTTAAGAATATAATATACAAATTAAACTTCTCACTAAGAGAATCTGAACTACTTTGAACCAAACCATTTTAAGCCATTTTAAATTATACCACAAAATGGATTGAACTGAAAATTATACCACAAAATGATCACTTTAAATGTCATTTAAGCCAAACTTTTTGACAACTTTTTCCAACAATTTGTGGAAAGAAATTTCTATTTACCCATGGATGCAAAATTTTCCTCGTCATTAGACATGCCATTGAAGCAAAAACAAAAGTGTCTATTGTTAAAGGGCTTAACTATGTTTTTATAATGGGACTAAAATAACCATTTTTTCTTTTATGTTTTTTAACATCTTTCTATCTACTCGTGTAGATTGAAATTTAAAATTTAAATTGTAATTAGAAATATTTAATATTTTTTTTTAAATCTCTCTATATTCCCCTTCTCCACCCCAACATTCATCACATTTTTCGGTTTAAATCCTCTCTCTATAATTTTTTTTCGATGCATATGACATTTAGTGTCCTCATCACTCTGAAATTAATTCAAATTTGAGTTGGGTCTCATCTGCATAATTTAATTCTTATTCAAGGATAAGTATGACATAGAACTCTTTAGCATGATGCACCATTTATAATTGTATTAGTGCTTAACATTTATTTGTTACAAGTGAAAAGATGAGTGAGGAAAATTAGATAGAAAAAGAGAAGGAAACTTTTTTTTTTTTTTTTGTAGAGTATTGATGGGCTTATGTGGCAAATTATATCGTGCACTGCGGTGCATAATCGATTATGCACCGCGCATCAAAACGTCGTTTTATTTAATGAAAAGAAATGGAATCCGTTTCGTGCCGTTCCGTAAAAAATAACCCGTTCTTCAGTTTTATTTTGTATACACTGCAGTTTCAGTTCAACACAACTAAAGTTTCATTTCGATATAACTACCGTTTTTTTTTTTGTATATTTTTTTTTCCAGGTTCCTGGTTCCACCACCTAGATCCTCGTTCCCCTGTTCCTAGCTCCACCTTGTTTCACCTCTTCATCTTTAACTAAAGTTTCATTTCGATATAACTACCATTTTTTTTTTGTATATTTTTTTTTCCAGGTTCCTGGTTCCACCACCTAGATCCTCGTTCCCTTGTTCATAGCTCCACCTTGTTTCACCTCTTCATCTTTTGCAAATGGGCTTGACTTGGATTTTCACTCTTTGATCGCATCATCCTCCCCTTCTTGAAAGGAATGGGCTTGACTTGGATTTTCACTCTTTGATCATAAACCAAGGCCGCATCATCCTCCCCTTCTTGAAAGGAATGGGCTTGACTTGATCATAAACCAAGGCCGCATCATCCTCCCCTTCTTGAAAGGAATGGGCTTGACTTGGATTTTTACTCTCCATTGGAGAATTGGGCTTGACTTGATCATAAACCAAGGCCGCATCATCCTCCCCTTCTTGAAAGGAATGGGCTTGACTTGGATTTTTACTCTCCATTGGAGAATTGGTACTCTTGATGGATTTTCAAGATGTTGGGTCGCATCATCCTCCCCTTCTTGAAAGGAATGATTCGACACTCTCCATTGGACAATTGGTACTCTTGATGGATTTTCAAGATGTTGGGTCGCATCATCATCCCCTTCTTGAAAGGAATGATTCGACCTCGAATCTTCACTTGGTTCTTGGTTCCTACCTGGTTCCAAGTTTATCTAGTCCTTCCTAGACCCTTCTTTTTCAACAAATTATTCTAACCCATCATCCTCCCCTTCTTGAAAGGAATGATTCGACACTCTCCATTGGACAATTGGTACTCTTGATGGATCAAGGAATGATTCGACACTCTCCATTGGACAATTGGTACTCTTGATGGATTTTCAAGATGTTGGGTCGCATCATCCTCCCCTTCTTGAAAGGAATGGTTCGACCTCGAATCTTCACTTGGTTCTTGGTTCCTACCTGGTTCCAAGTTTATCTAGTCCTTCCTAGACCCTTCTTTTTCAACAAATTATTCCAACCCATGCATGGGATGGGAATCAATCCTGAAACCTTCAATTTGAAAGTCCAACCCAGGTGACATCAAACCACAAAGGAGATAGCGATATAATTACAGTTTCATTCAATATTTATACACGCAAATATATGAAAATGTTATTTAATTTTATTTTATATACACTATAGTTTCATTATGACACCACTACATGATCATTTCGATATAATTACAGCTTCATTGTACAATATACACTCAAATATGTGAAATGTTATTCAGTTTCATTTTATATATACTGCAATTTCATTTCATCGATTCTAAACTTTTTGCAACATCTTAACAAGTGTCGCAGAAATCTTAGGCCTTTTTTGCGTCACCCACATCTGCGTGTACAAGTGTAGCGATTCCCTTATACAAATATAGCGGATGTGTTGTTCTGTACTAATGGAAAGACTTGCCTCGTCCAAGGAAGTCAAACTCATGAATCACCCGAGATGGGCAACATGTATAATACTTTTTTAGATAAAATGTAGTACTTTTTTTACAAAGATATTAAAAAAAAAAAAAAAAAAAAACAGTATTACACATCTCATGTGAAATAATGATCTAGTAAAAACATCCTTGTTATCAAGTGACTAGTGACCTCTCATTGGTGTGTAGTACATTGTACATGTACATGCACCCTAGTATTAAATTGGCATCATTTCCGCTCAAACCTCGTGTCAATTCAATATATATATAGCTATGCAGGTTAAGTACAATAAGTTGAATCTATATATATAACACCTTCACTCCCCTCTCCATTCATTCAAACCCACCATAATATACCCAAAAACATCATAATTTTTCTCTCTGGCTTGCAAGAGATGGGCAACAGTCTAAGGTGCTGTTTGGCTTGTGTTATTCCTTGCGGAGCCTTAGACTTGATCCGTATAGTGCACTTGAACGGGCAGGTTGAGGAAATTGCTCATCCCATCACCGCCGGCGAGGTCCTCAACAACAACCCAAACCACGTTTTGAGTAAGCCCAGCAGCTCTCAAGGCATGGTTCGCCGGATCATGATCCTCTCGCCGGAGTCTGAGCTCAAGAGAGGCAGTATCTACTTCTTGATCCCGGCGACTTCTGTCCCGGACAAGAAGAAGAAGAACAAGAAGATCATCCACCCAGCTACCAAGAATCCATCCAAGAAGATGATGGGCAAGAGAGTGTACCACGTTAATGCCGCCGCCTCCGTCGGAGAAGAAGTCTCGCGCGATGTCGTGCCGCCGTCGGAGAAGAAGTCACCGTGTCGCCGGCATCGCCGCCGGAGCGGTAAGGTTGGGATATGGAGGCCCCATCTTGAGAGCATTTCTGAAGACTGAAACCAAAATGCCAACTTCTTTGTTTCTGCATACTCTGCCAAAATTACCCAACGTTTTTGTTTACACCTTCGCGGTGTTTTTTTTTTTTTTTTTTACCCCATGTGGATATATTTTACACAAGAGTTTTTACGGTGCCCTGAGCATCGTGTTATACTCTTTTTTTTTTTCTTGGTATAATTACTTTTTAGTATGATAATCATATCAAATTCTGATTAATTTGGAATTATATTATTGGCACACTCTTGTTGGTGAATTTCTTTGGATGCTTCCATGTGTGGCTGTGTTGTACTTTAAAGGAAAAAAAAAAAAAAAGAAATGTAATTATGTTTGAACATATTTTACCTTGTCTCGTTCGTTAAAAAATATTCGAAGTAATATTATGTTGGCTTATTTTTGGTATTACTATCTTTCATTTGAGAGAACCATAGATATGCCGCTTGACCATATATAAGATCTTTGATTCTTTTAGAGTTATTTTATTATAGGCAAAATATATATATATATTATGTAATTTTTTAGACAATGCTACACACTTTTACATTTATTACTCACAAATTGCACTCCGTAAAGTGACTGTTACATTTATATGACAATTATATATTTGGGTTTCTATCCGTAACTTAAAACTCTAATAATTTTCATTTTTTAACTAATAATTGCCCTAGTCTCCCACAACGATAGAGCATTGGAATTATAGTAAAAGCAATAATTTATGGATGAAAACTAGGGTATGATTAGTGGACTAATTGCGCAATTCACGAAGTTGAGATTATCTAAGTATATAAATTAAATAAATAAAATTTATTATTTCACATTTTGGTAATCTTAAGATATAGGAGATTAACCGATCTTAATTAATATCTAAAAGTTAGTGATGGTAATCTACAATTTTAATAAGAGCCAATAATGTTAGGCCCTTAACTGAAACAAAAAAAATGTCGGTTCTATTGTTTCTTAAAATGAATGGTTCATATTATACTATTGTTTCTTAAAATGAATGGTTCAAATTATTTTTATTTTAGTATTTTTTTTTATTGATTTTCCTTATTTACCCTCTATTATATTATTTTCTTCCCTTAAATAACCTAAATTCCGTTAGCATAAACTTTAGTAACGGAATATTCCATTAAGTATTTATTATTTTAACTTATACATTAATTTCTACAAGAAAAGTCTTAGTTTCGAACCACATCCCAATTAGAGTTGGCATAATTTTTAAACATATATACTACGAAAATGTTAAAATATATTTAAAATATAAAATATATATAATATAAAATTTAACATAAACTTTGTTCAAATAATTAGTCTGACTAAATACATAACATTCAAAGTTAAGCATCAAAGATTATAAATCAAGAAATTTAAAAATCATTTGATCAGAAAAAAACTTAATATTCTTTTGATTATTTAGATCAGAAAAAAAACTTAATATTTCAATTATACTTTTGCATTAATATTTTTTGTACGTATTTTTTTTTTAAAAAAAATCAATGATTGCATTATTGTTGATGAAAAGTATATACGCCACTTTAATACTCTTATTAAACTAAATAAAGTAGTAGCTACAACAAAAAATAATACATATTTAATTTAGAATTAGATGTCTATAATGCATTTATTTAAAAAAAAAAATTATTCATTATAAAAAATTTAAAATAGATATAATTTCATTAGTTATATTATCTTTATTTTCTACAATTCAAAGATTCATTACCTTCAAATTTATCAATTTATTATATTCACTGCATTGTCCATTGTCTTCTTTTTACATTATCTTGTAATTAAACATCAAAGTTATAATACAAAATACATTATATATATTTATTTACCAATTAAGTATTTTATACAAATATAATAAATATTAATATTTTGTTCAATACTTTCACATGATAACCTACACACACATCTCACAATGCATGAAACATGTAGGGGAAAACTACCACTACCAAATATCGATCAAAAAATTCAATAAATATTATCTTGCATTTATATATTTTGAATTACCGATTTAAATAAACAAATTCAATATTTATTTACATATGCATGAACATCTCCGATATAATATTGCATTGATATATTTTGAAATACTTATTTATAAATAATCATTGGGCATTATCTCATTCGCGCAAAGCGCGTAAAAAAACTAGTGTTCTAATAAAAATAGAAAATGTGTTGATATAATTTTTTTTGAGTTAATACCCAAAATCGTCCTCGATTATAGTGGTTTTTCTCAATTTCGTCCTAAACGACTTTGATGACCTTATATCGTCCCAGACTTTTGTGTTTCGCTCAATTTAGTCCTAGACTTTTGTGTTTTTGCTCAATTTAGTCCTTCATTTGTTATTCTGTCCATTTGGTGTTAAATAAATTGACAATTCAGTAATTTTAATATTGGCATCTCTTTACTCATAGACATGTGAACTGCGAAATCCTTTTTTTTTTTTTTTACGAATTACTCCCAGAATTATTCCTAAAACTGCGAATATAAAATTTGATTTGCAGGTCCGGGAGTAATTCTGGGTGTAATTCGTACAAGAAAGAGGAATTTCGCACTTCACAAGTTGAAAGTAAAGAGAGATCAATATTGACATTACTGAATTGTCCCTTTATTTAACACCAATTTGACGGAATAACAAATGGAGGACTAAATTGAGCGAAACACAAAAGTCTGGGACGATATTAGGTCACCAAAGTCGTTTAGGACGAAATTGAGAAAAACCACTATAGTTGAGGACGATTTTGGGTATTAACTCAATTTTTTGTTGTTGCCCAAAGGTATAGTATCCCTCCAGTCGATAGCCAGAAGACTAATTCTCCGTCCCAACGGTCAGCACACTAAGTGGTAAAAAACTGGTCAAATGGTTTGATCCATTCACATGGGTAGAGATTGAACCCGCAATCTCATGCTTAAGGGAGTTGATATAATTAGTTGTATTAATTTGTATGTTACATTTATTTTTTTGTATACAATTTTTATTTTTTATCTTGTCCTTTTTCATTTTTCTTTTCTCCTACAAGTTGTTAACATCGATAACTTCTAGTCTTTTACGTTGTGTTTTCTTATACACGTACAAATTTATTCCAATTTACATTTCTTCTTATGTTCATGATGTAGTATTGTTTTTTTTAATTTTTTTTTTTTATAATTTTACTACTTTTATTAGATATTTATTTTATCATGATAATCTCATCAATGTAATATAATATAATATAATAATGAGTATGCAGGAGGTGATAAAGACTCTATTAAATTGGAAGTGGGTTTCTCCCACTCTTATTAACAGATCAATTATGTATATCCACACCAGTTTAGCTAGCTCACTGATTTATAAGGCATTATTTGAGAGAATTAATATGGAAATGCATAAATTAAATCCAAGAGTAAAGCAGGAATGGCGACAAGTCCACGCTACATGATATTAAAATAATGTAAACAAATAGCTGTCAAACCCTAATTATCTAATTCCCCAATGGATCAGACCTCACATGGATCCCCCTCCCAGTCTCTTCACACATGCATGGAATGCCATATTGATTGTACTCTACGTGTTTGTTAGTTTCATTATTGATACACCTTAGTATATAACTACCACTAATTATAAGCAGCCCTTATTTTCATACCCTTAATTATGAAGTATTATTAAGTTGAAAGCATCATATTCTATATGTTGTCATTAAATAAAACGGTGTTTTTCAGTTTTGTTATATATATTAGTGAAAGATTTGATACATGTAACATTACTTTATTTAGTCTATAGTGATCAATCATTTAAACATTAAATGATTGACTCCCTCTGAAAATGTATTGCCTATTGACTTTCTCGGTTTGAATCGGTCAATTATGGACAATCTAGACTTGTTTATTTATTCGTGATCCTTTGCTGATTAGGGTCAAAAGACGAGCTTTGCCAAGAGAGTACATTCGAATAGCAATGGTGTGTTTTCTGGTAAATTAAAATCATTTAAACATACATTATACACACAAATGATGGTATATTGGTCAAATTGCCCAATAAGTTTGATATATAGGCACAATTCAATGTCAACGATAACTTGAAAGACGAATTAATAGTACAATCCAAGAGATTGAACTGGTAAAAAACTAGCTATTCAATGAAAAAAATTATTATGGTTAACCTAACCATTGAAGACCAATTATATTGCAAGCCGCTATAGAAAATGACGATGAAGCTCACAATCATAAGATTTCAAGTTCGACTCTTCGTGGGAGCTGATTATTGTTCTTCTCAGTTTTAGTCGATTAGTTATAAATAACATAGGCTATTACCTCTTTGTTATCATTTGTTGGCTAGGAGCCTAGGATCACAAAGTAGCATTTACCTTTAACCCTTAAGTTATAGACAACATAGGCTAATCAACTGTAAGCTTTATCGTAAATTAAAGTATTAGTATTATTGTTATTTGTTAAAAAAAAAAAAATCATGTAACCAGTTTTTTATGAGTAACCTGTGTTATATTATATAGAGTTCATGATTTAATTCAAATATTTTAAAATTCAAAAGTTTAATTATATTGTTGTTTCATTAATAGTTGAGGGTTATTTGACCATTTTCCTTAGAATTTTAAAATATACATACAAATTTCAATATTAGTGCATCAAAGTCTTTATTTAATACTCCCTTTGTTCCATTTTATCTGTCATACTTACTATTCATTGGTTAAACCAACTCTCTGTTATTTGTTTATTTCTATTAGCATTTTCTCATAATGTTTAAATTTGATTGTGTTTAATAATATTTTTAATGTAGTTTTTAAATATATAAATTTTACATACTAATTGTAAACTTAATATTATGAAAAAATAAATTGTAAATAACAAGTCTCATTAATCAAACCGGCACATAAATTAAGAAGACGGGGGAGTAACTAACAACTTCTACATTACTCTTAATTTCAAACTCTTTATTAGTGCATCAAGTCTATACTGAAATCGGAAGACATGCAGTAATAAAGAAAACAATCAGCCTACAATCAGTCGAGTAAAAGAGTATGTATATTACTACTGTTGTTAGATCCCAACACATTTGGTATTGAGAGTTGAAAATTACAAATTGCAAAGCATTGCTTAAGATTGAAAAAGAGTGGACATCCACCACAGTTCTCGGAGAAGAGTTTGTATTGGCCCCTGTTTAAGGTAGTGAGACCTGTTGATCCCTGTGTATATGCCTTATTGTCTCCCAGGCCAGGTGCAGTGTTGGGGGTGGGGGGAGACTTTGGATTCTGAAATATGGAATAAATATTAATCCGTAGATCTTGAATGCTGTTCAAACTTCAGGAAATAAACCAATAACGCATGATAAATGACATACAAAAACAAAAATTCCTGTGACAAAAGGTGGAATCGCTCACTCCAGGTGCCCTCACATCTTGACCCAACAGGATTATAGATGGTAAATCATGGCACACAAGCCCTTGAAAACAGAATCAGGAATTTCAAGAATCGCCCAGAAAAACAAAAACACTACCCTGACTTTGAAGATCAATATTTCAATGACCAGAACGAATTAGAAAGTGTATAATATATCAAAAGAACGCCCTATAAATTTCATATGAAACTAGCTAGTCTCTTCAGATATAGGTCAATTTCTAAAACTGATCAGCGGAAATCTGGATAGGATATCCACTTAGGATTTTGGTAAGGTTGAGATGGAGTTTTCTTGACAAAATTTATGGTAATATGGTGGTTTGGAGGTGTTAAGTATCGTTGATATTGAATGGAAAAAGCTGGAGGGATACATTTGGGCAACCAATAAAAAAAAAAAAAACATTGAATGGAAAAGATAGAAAACTATTTTTGGATAGTTTTTTAAGAAACTCAAGAACATGCATCAAGATTCAAGAACACAATCAAGAATGTAATGATTTTTTCTTTTGGGGGGAATTTTTTTTATGTATATAAGATAGTTTTACTCACTGCGCACAAAGAGCCCTTCATTTAAGAAGTTGCTCCTACACTGTTGCTAGTGAAATTCGATTCTTAATCTCTTGTGACAAATTTCACCTAAGCAACCAATAACTGCCCATGTAAGTTGCATCATAGTAACTCTTGACATAAGGGATATTCAGATTAGAGTCAAAGAATGAGACCAGATTAACTAGCTATTAAAAAGAGCAAGCTCCAGCGTTAACAAGATATATGCAGCCAGTTTAAACATTGCACATTGAAGATTTCCAACTTTTTTCTCATTGTGGCGCCGGCTTTGCAAACCTTGCCCCTGTCTAAGAAGGGTAAACTAAAGAGAGATTTTTTGTTACAAAACAATCAGAAATGAAGGCAGTACTTGCCCCATTAGCAGCCTATTTCTTAGCATAGCTGATAGCCATAGGATTCTGGGGTGTAATTTTGAAGCCCTGAAGCGCCTGCATGGCGACAGAGGACTGGACATCATCTTCAAATTCCACAAATGCAATGCCCGGCTTTGCTTCTATCATTCTAACTTCTCTGAAACCAGGGTACTGGTTGAAAAGCACTTCTAACATCATGCTTGTAGTCTCATGGGGAAGATTCTGTATGAAGAGTATATTGTTCGGCTCTGCAGTTGTTTCCTGTGCTCCTGGCTTTCCGTGCCGAGCAGCATTCTGCAAAGGCGTATTCACATGTAATCAACCATTTACCAGAGTACTAAGCATTGATGAGTCAAAAGTATGGCTGACAACTCAGCCGAACAAACAACACAATCTATATGTACAAAGGAAGCAACTTGAAACTTACCGCTGGGCCTCCGTTGGTATCAGCCCTTGGGCCATTAGCAGTAGGCTGTCCTTCTTCAGCGCGTTTCTTCCTTTCAGCTGAACAAATGCAACACTTTAAATTTATCAATTATGTAAGCAAAATATATGGTTGGAGGGAAATTTATCAACAGTAAAACCACATATATGATTGGTATCAACTATCAAGAACATGAAGCACTAGCATATAAATATACATAGATGTAGCTATTTGACATATTTGTTTATGGCCCTGTTTGGTAAAAAATTGGCCTATAGGCCAATTTTGACTTATTTGACCACTATCAATTGTTTGATTTAGTTAAAATATCAATATAAATGTTTGGTTAATTAGCTTTTTGCAACTCCAAAAGGCTAAAATTTAAAAAGCTACTCCAAGCAACTTTTTCAATTAGTTTTTTAAAAAAATAAATTATACCAAACAGCTATCAGCTAACAGCTAATTTACCAAACACTTTTTTACAATCAGCTAATGTTATCAACTATTTATACCCTCAAATTAACACAATCTGCTAACAACTAACAGCTATCAGCTAACAGCCATTTTACCAAACAGGGCCTATAGAATATGATTTGCGTGTCATTATTTTCATTCACAATACTAAAACAATACTCTGAATAATAGTTTCAAGAGACTCTTTATAGGTCATTAGTGCCTGGTACGAAAGAGACCTTAAACAATTCCCTTAGCTATGTAATCATTTCAGCCATCTTAAGATTCCAAAAGATGGAAGGACACATCGATTAATGCAGTGGAGCAACTGGAATGAAATTCTGCATATATCTTTTTCCTTAAAGTACACATAAGTTTTTCACATCTCAATATCTAAGCTCCTGGGCAGTGCATTGTTCACTTTTCTCACTTTAAGAAAGCCACTCTAGTGCCGTTATGAAGTTTTATAATGAGCCAGGTTCCTTTGGACTAGCACAACAATGAGGTTGAACCTTACATATGAAGGCACATTGCATGGAACATAACGTTTGGAATATAAAAGCTAAAACATTAAACGATAAGCATGAACAAAAAAGTAAAGAGGAATAGGAAGTTAAAGGTCAGGAAAACAGGAGGCCAGCTATAAGCCTACAACAACACAAATAATGTCACCTTTTTCCTCTTGCTTCTTTTTCTTGTCATATGTACCCTCTGCTTTGGCAATACAATCCGACTTTGTTTTTGCATATTGTATCCGCTGCATTGCATCAAATATAAACAGCTCTATCATTTAAGGAGCACGTCATATATCATATTAATCCCGACAATGTAGTGTATAGCTTAGAAAAGTATAAGTTACAATTAAAAGTACTACTACATTATACTGACCATTGGTTTGTCATAAAATGGGAAATTCTGCATTTGTCGCACTGCATTACTAGCAGCTGTTACTTCACTGAATACAACCCAAGCTTGCCCTCGAAGCTTGGCTGTCTTCAAGGCAACAATGTCCAAAATCCTTCCATACTGTGAAAACAGGCAATAAAGAGACCTCTTCAACTCTGCCAAACATCAAAGGTCAATATTTGTCTAAATATTATAAACATAATTATCTAAAGTAGAAGGAAAACTTAAACATACACAGACACACCCTAGGCCACCTTATGGGGGGAATTATTGCAAGGAACCATTTTGTCTATAATAAGTCCACATTTCATGTGGGTATGGGTAGAAATTATAGAAGATATGACTACAGCTCATATCCAATGCTGAAAACTGTCAAATTTGACTGTCCAAAACATTACAAGCACAAATATAGGAAAGATAAATGACTAGATGTTAGCATATCATGTAATGTGAATTCTGAAGTAATGGGCATGACTTTACCCTTTTTCCATTTGATCCATTGCAAGGGAAAAAGGGGTGTCATAAAATCTTCCAGTGTTGTGGCAAAACATAATCATTATTTATCCATTTTGGCCATAGATTCACATGTGGCTTTTGTGGCCAACTGGCTATTAACATAGGAAATCATGATAAGCCAAGCACATAAATACAATTTTATTTCTCAAGATGTAATCTTTCCTAATGAATGATTGTTTGCAGCCTATAGGTAGTTCTACACCAATCTGAGCAGTAATACTTATTTTTCAAAAGTTAAACAAAATTAAGACTGCCTTTTATTTTAATTCTTCAGTTTTCCATTCTCCATTCTCTATTTTCAAATTTGAGAAATGTACAAAAAAGATTTTCTGTTTTACTTTCTCAAGCTTTCCATTTCTCCAGGAAGATGGAGAATTTGTTAGTAAATGCACCCTGAACAAATTTCATTGTGCTCTAGTGATTTGTAAACACAAAACTAGCTCAAATGTACCATCCATTGAGTGCCACACACCATAGAAAGAATGTTTCACATGGGGGACATGGCAAACACATTTCACATTAGAAACATACTATTATCAGACTATAAAACGTATACAATACAAGCTGCAAAGATAATAAATAGGTTTCAAAAACAGACAATTTTATGAACTACCACAACAACCACTGCTGGATACTTTCATGTTGCTCAGCAAGTATAGAACAGATAACCGAGAGAGAAGCTCAACAAAAAGACACATTAAGATCTCAAAATCCCGCTAAAACCCTAGAGCAAAATTAGGAAACGCACAGAAAAGAAATCACCCGGAGACGCGCATATATTACCTTCTTTCTTGACCTTCTCATTTAAATTCTTAATGTATATAGTTTGATTTGGCGGTATATCTCCGGTGAGCATCATCCCGACTGCCACTGCGACTCGGAAAAAAAAGGAGAGAATTTGAGAAAGAGCGCGAGCTGAAATGTCTAGCGGTTCAGCAGTCAAACCACTCAAAACCACAGATGCCAATTAGTCCAATGGGCCAATGCTTGCAAAATAATAATGGGCCTTAGTTGTTTCATGAGAGGTTTTTTTTTCCCCCGAGATAAAACGGCAATTTATATCCTACACCACGGCGCGCGTTGCACTATGCGCCCAGATGCAAAACGACGTCGTTTTAATTATTTTATTTTTTGAAATTTTCACCCCAATGAATGGCAGTAGTTTTTTCTTAAAAAAAAACCCGTTGTTCAAGAATGTACATAATGTTATACTAGAATACACATATACATGAATGTACATAATTATATAACAAAATATACATACTCTTTTTAAAAGATAATACACATAATCTAAGATAATACATAATAAACATAAACTTTTAACATAATACACATCAACTCTTAACATAATACACACAAATTTTCTGATTCGGATGTACATAATTGTATAAAAAGAATGTACATAATTGTATAAAAAATACACATAACTGTATGAACCAATACACATAACGTTGTGAACAAATACACATAACGTTGTGAACAAATACACATAACGTTGTGAACAAATACACATAATCTCAGCAACTTCCTACCGCGCCTCCCAACACTACCCCAAAACGACGTCGTTTTGGGAGTCGCGCGGCGCACAGTGCTATGTGCGCCTGGTGTAGGATATAACGATTGAGATAAAACCACTTCATAACTAAAGAAAATCCTCCATCAAAACATTAGAAAGGAAATCAACACTTGTTATATCGTAGACCGCGGTGCACAAGTCGAAGAACATCATGCACTGATGGGTGGTGAGGACCCATATTGACTATCATGAGGTCTTTTCTTGTAGCTGGTGCAGTCATAAATTTTTTACCGATTCGTTCTTCCATGTAATTCTTCCATGAATAGATTCTTAGTTGTTAGTTGTTTGTTGTTGCTAATCTAATAGAATCGACTCCAGCGTTTAGAAATAGGTTAATCGGTAAAGATACATGTACTTGACGCCCCGCCTAAGAGAGAGACCCAAGTCCGAGCCGCGGTAAAAAACGGCATCGTTTCTTTAAGTAAAGAAACGGCCCGTTTTTACCGTTAACGGAGTCCACATGTTTGGTGTATTAAACACCAACTGACACTACAGTACATCTAAACCGACGCCTCACGGATTATTTTTATATTATCAAATGAAACTGCAGTTATATCAAAATTATACTGTAATTGTGGTGAAATGAAATTGCAGTGTATATAAAATGAAACTGAATAACATTTCACGTATTTGAGTGTATATTGTACAATGAAGCTGTAATTATATCAAAATGATCATGTAGTTGTGTTTTAATAAAACTATAGTGTATATAAAATCAAAATAAATATTTTCATTATAACATTTTCACATATTTGAGTCTATAAATATCGAATGAACTGTAGTTATATTGAAATGAAACTGTAACTGTGTTGAACTGAAACTGCAGTGTATACAAAATGAAACTGAATAACAGAGTTAGTTTTTGCGGAAGGGTGCGGAACGGCGGAAAACAAATGCCGTTTATTTTCATTTAACAAAACGACGTCGTTTTGATGCGCGGTGCATAATGGATTATGCACCGCGCTGCAGGATATAATTTGCCGGAAATCAAGAGTGTGGCAAAGCCACTGGCAAATTATATTGTGGATAGCGGTCCACAGTGCATTGTGGTTCAGGCATCAAAATGATGTCGTTTTTTTTTAATGAAAAGAAACGGTAGATGTTTCACGTCGTTCCGTGCTGTCCGTAAAAAGTAACTTTGATTGTATAACATATTCAGTTTCATGTTGAATACACTGCATTTTCATTTCAACACAACTACAGTTTCATTTCAACACAACTGTAGTATCATGTGGATATAACTACAGTTTTACTGAACAATATACATTCAAATATGTGAAATTGTTATTTAGTTTCATTTTGTATACACTACAGTTTCATTTCAATTCAATTGCAGTTTCATTTGATAATATAAAAAACAATAATCCCTCCACCCATTTTATATGTCTTACTTACTATTCATTTGTCAAACCAACTATTTATTCTTTGTTTATTTTCTTTAGTATTTTTTTACTTATTTTTAAATTTGATTTTTTTTATGGTTAATAGTAATTTAGTGTAGTTTCTAAATATATAAATTTTGTATACTAATACTAAACTTAATATTATGAAAAATTGAATTGAAAATAACTTCAGTTAAGTTTCGTTAACTGAACCAGACACATAAAATGGGACGGAAGAAGTAAGTGAAGTAGTGTTAGTTTAGATACATTGTAGTTTCATTTGATAATTAACACACACAAAATGCGCGCTCCATTAAGCTGTAACGACTGTCGTTTCTTTACTTAAAGAAACGACGCCGTTTAAAGAAATGCATATGTATTAGTTTTTGTTGTATCTACTAAATTATTATTTTCTACTATACTAATAAGAGCCAAAGAGAGTTAGGCCTATAATATGTAGAAACGATGACGGTCAATTTTTTTAATCAAATGAGTGGATCAGATTTATCAGATTTTAATTTTTCATTGAGATTTTATTCATTCAGATTGTCAAATGGTGTGTAACCTACTAAATGACACTTTGCAAGATTTTTCTTTCGCAGGTTGTGTTCTCCGAGAATGTCGGGATTTAAAACGACACTTTGAAATAGTGTCTATTCGATTTATTTCTGGATCAATGAACAAGGCTGCACATATCTTGGCTACGGCAGCACGTTCATATACTGATCCTGTTTGTTGGTTTTCTTCTATACCTGATTGTATTGTCTCGTTGTTTTAATAAAAGTTCTCTCTCGTTGGTTTTCAAAAAAAATGATTATCCTATAACTTTTCCGTTAAATATTCTCTTTTCCGTTGAAGATTGCTATCTCATTTTTGGGCTGAACCGGCACTCAGTCGGGGGTGTGTGCTTCTGTCAATTGGTTTCGCTTTATCCCGACTGGTTCCGAGAATTGGTGCGATCACTGACTGTAATTATGACAACCCCTGCTTTCCCGCCGGTTACAGTCTCGATGCATGCCTTTTCGTAATCGTCTCGTCAGACGTTACGTCACTTCCCCAGCCGTTTGATCGAGTACGCGGGGGCACGATCTGGTCATCCGACCATACCTATAAATACTCGTGTCATTCTCCCTTCTCCCCTTCCGCATTCCTTTGCTCTCACTTCCCAAATCCTCTGGCGACCTCCCCTTCTTCACAACCATTTTTTTTTTCTGGTGGCCGACGTCCTTCCTTCCCGAGTCAGTTCCGTTGTCCTCTCCGCCCGTCATTTTCTAAAGTTAGCCCTTCTTCTTCTGCCTCTCTTTTGCTTTCTTTTCGCCTTCCTTCTTGTCTTCTATATATATTCCATTGTATACCTAAAATATTTTTATATTTATAATATAACCCCAAGTATATATAATATAACCCCAAGTATATATACCTATTATTCGTCATAAATAAAAAGTATATTTTAATATACTAAAAGTACATTATTTGTATATATAAAATATATTGTTTGAAAGTATAATTTTTTATATTACCAAATAATGTACATTCAGTACACAAATAATGTACTTTTAATATAGGCAAAATGGTCAAATAGGCCCTCAAACTTTAGTTGAAAAGTTAATTAGACCCCTCAACTTTTTGAAGGTGCAATTACACCTATAAACAATTCATTTTGATGCAATTAAGCCCAAAAACCGTAAATGACCTACTATCACAGGTCATCAAATCCGGCCACCTCTAGTCACATCCAGTGAGAAGGCGGCCACTGTGGTTGCCTTCTCAAAGCAATAAGGCGACCACTGGGGTTGCCTTCTCCGTGACCGGCGACCGTTCATCAGTCACCAGTCATTTTTTTGCCTGAAATTGCGTCGGAGGGTAGCCGGATCCCTAATTACCAGTTTTCTGACTTAATTGCATCAAAATGAATTGTTTATTGGTGTAATTGCACCTTTAAAAAGTTGAGGGGCTATTTGCGTTTTTGGCTAAAGTTCGAGAACCTATTTGACCATTTTCCTTTTAATATATTGGTGAAAGTACCTATGAGGTTCCTGTACTATAGTGTTTTGTTCAATTTAGTCATTCTACTTTAATTTTGTTCATATTAGTCCCTATACTTTAAAAATTGAAACAATTAAAGACAATAGCTGATGTGAACAAATATTTATGTATTTATTTTGGACATATTAATGTAATATATTAGTGGTAAGAATAATTAATTTTAAATATTTATAAAATAATATATTAGTTGGCATGTAAGTATGATGACATGGCAAAGATAATGTTAGCGCTACATAAACTATTGTCCTTAATTGTTTTATTTTATAAAGTACAGGGACTAAATTGAACAAAATTAAGGAAGAAGCACTAAATTGAACAAAACACTATAGTGCATGGACCTCATACGTACTTTGACCTTAATATATTAAAAATGTATATTGCACTAATACTTTCATAGTCCACTCAATATTTAAAATTAATTATTTTGCTATACTTTTCTAAAAAGGTAATCATAATTATATTAATTAATTTGATGGTAATATCCCTTAAATTTAACATCTATTCAACAAAAATCTTAACGGAAGATTATATGTATGATAAAACATTAAAACATAAAAGTCAGAATACGTGTTTTGGTCAAATAGAGAGTCAATGACTAAAAAAAAAATACTAACCAAATAGTGAAATGACCATTTGTGATATTTTCTCTAATTTATAGAAGTAGCTTTTTAACAATTAAAAATTAAAATTCATACTTCAAATTCTGAATCCTTAAATAGTTAATTACTGAAATTGTCCATTGCCTATAGTGAAATTATCAATTTGGTCCTTAACTATTTTTTTTTGACCAATTAAGTCCCTCAACTTTAAAATTCTTAACCAATTTGATCATCCATTTGTTTGACCGTTAGTCAACCGTTAACTTGGGATCAAATTGGTAATTTGCTATAGTCAAGGGACCATTTTGGTAATTAACTTTAAGGATGGACAATTCGGTTCAGTTTTCTCAAACCGAATCGTACCAAACTAGTTAAATTCGGCAATATACCAAAAAACCGAACGGTAATAGATTCTTGTATACCGAACGGTTCGGTAAAAAACTCGAACCGAACTGAATTTGTTCGGTAAAAACCGAACTGAATTGAATACCGTTTGAACTTTGGATTTATGAGAAACAATAAAGAAATCAAATAAAATATATACGAGAGATACCCGTGAGAATATGAACTGAACGACAGAGCAAGCAGTAAGTGACTAGGATTTACTTTTTATTTATTTATTTATTTATTTATTTATTTATTTATTATTATTATTATTATTATTATTATTATTATTATTATTATTATTATTATTAAAAAATCAAACGGTATTCGATTCAGTTCAATTTTTTACCGAACAATTCAGATAGATTTTTTATCGAACCGTTCGGTATATAAGAGTCCAATCCCCGTTCGGTTGTTCAGTATATTACCGAACCAAATTAGTTTGGTACGGTTCAGTTCGAGAAAACTAAACCAAATTGCCCACCCCTAAAATTAATTACTAAAATGGTTCATTGACTATAGCGAAATTACCAATTTGGTCCCAAGTTAACGGTTGACTAACAGTCAAACAAATAGAGGACCAAATTGATTAAGATTTTTAAAATTAAGGGACTTAATTGGTTAAAAAAAAATAGTCAAAGACCAAATTGATAATTTCGCTTGATATAATCAAGGGACCATTTCAGTAATTAATTAATCCTTAAATATCTAAATTCCTAAATCCTAAAATCTAAATTCTAAAATCCCTAGCGACTAGAAGAACGACTGAGCGACTCCGCCAAACACTCCGACGGCCTGCGAATCTACGAATTTGGGTAAGTCTTCTTCTTCGTTGAAATCTATGGAACGCTGCCTCGCTCCCTCACTCCGTCGTCGATTTTCTTTCTCTGTACGGCGTACGCAGAACCGCAGAAGAACTGCCATTTTCTTTCTCTGTTTATTCCCAGCCCTCAACTTTCCTTTTTTAATTTTATCAATTAATTTACTGAGAGATGTGGGCCGTAGTGTAGGGATGTTGAAGTTGCATCTTTCAATAATTTGAAATTGGGTGAAATGTCAGATTGTATTAGCTAGTAGTTGGATGAATGCACATTGTTGAAAGGTCGAGCTCAATTCGAGTCAAGATCTAAGTGTTCTCTGCTTTATAAATTATAATTTGCAGATTAAATTAGTGGTTATAGGCCTACAAAATTTGAATGCCAAAAATAGGTTTGTTTTGAATTCATGTTGTAGAACTATGTTCTGATTTCTTTGTTTTTCAATTTGTGTTTGTTAGAGCGAGTTATCTGGATTATATATGGAAGGAGAAGACAGAATTAGTGAACTCCCCGTGGGTATACTTGACAATATTTTGGGATATTTACCGATTCAGGAAGCTGCTAGAACTGCGATCTTATCTTCCTTCTGGAAGGATATCTGGTTTAGTTTGACAAAGCTCAACTTTGGTGATGGCTTCTTTGATTACATATGTCTTAAATATTCCAATGCTGAAGGTTGGAAGTCGGAATCTCAATCTCCTATTTTGGAAGTAATCAACAAAATTCTCATGCGGCACAATGGACCTATTCAGAAAATTGTCATCAACTTTTCTGAACAAGTATTTGCATTCCATTTCTCTGAAGAATTTGATCCTTGGGATATAGCTAATTTGTTGTCGGACAACTTGAACCCGTGGCTTCTTCTTCTCACCCAGAATGGTGTTGAAGAAATTGACATTTCTTGTTTTACAGATACAAGATGCCGGGTGACGAATTGCTTGTTTTCTTGCCCAACACTGAAGAGATTGAAACTTGATAATATCTCTGTTGAACTAATAAATGCATCTTGTGTACTTCCGAATGTTACATCACTTTGTCTTGACAATGTTGACTTTAAGCCTAGAACTTGTTCGGATTATGTTGTTTATCTTCCTATGCTAGAGGATCTCTCATTTGGCGAATGCGAAAAGATATTTGATTTTGACATTGTTGCACCAAAGCTTGGTAGATTGAAAATCAGCCTGCTCGAGTGTTGTTATTATTACAAAACATTTGGTGTTCTGCCGCCTAACTTGGACTTGAGTTCTATATCTAGTTTTGATTTGAGTTGTTCCCCATGTTTCTTTAAGGTAAATTGGCCTGACACTTATTTTGTTTAATTCTGTTTTTATAAAATGATTTTTAGGAACTGATCTAATTGTCTTTCTCTTGATTTCCAAGATATTTGTTGAAGAACTTACTAGAGTGGGACATGCACCTGCACTAAACTTTGAACTCCTCAAGCTATGTGTATCAAGTTATACCTTTGTGCCAGAGAATATAAATAATTCTGCATTCATACATCTGCTGCGAGCATGTCCAAAATTATGCGAACTTGATATATGGCACCTAGAGGTAATCTTCATTTATATATATATATATATATATATATATATATATATATATATATATATATATATATATATATATATATGGATCAATTGTTCTATAAAATTCTGATTGATTTCATTATTGTTGCATTTCTTAATGCAAATTTGTTATGTACATTATGAACTGATTCCCTGTTTATGTTCTGTTATTAGTATTTGAAGTTAAATCCAGAGGATTTTGTGCTTATGGAAGAACTCAGCACTGTGGCTCGAACACTGAAAATGCTTCACACTTTGAAGTTTAGCCATTTTAATGGGTCGAGGTCTGAAATGCTTTCTATTGAGGTGTTCCTTGCTTGCTTTCCAGGAATTAAGAAGGTTGTCATTGTTCGAGGTTGGATTTGCTCTGATGAAGACTTTAAAATTATGCAGAAACTTTTAAGTTCCGCTTGTGCCTCTACAGAAGCAGAAATTTTTTACATACAAGAATCTTAATTTTATGTTGTTTCCTTAGTAAGTTCTGTATTGTGTAATGGTTTGTGAGATTGCTTATTGGATTTGAATGTACTATCACAATTAGTATGTAAGTTCTGTATTGTGTAATGGTTTGTGAGATTGCTTATTAGATTTGAATATACTGTCACAATTGTACCAAATTATGCATAATTATTATTATCTTAAAATCTCTAAAATTTAACAAATTAATATCAAACATTTATATTTTGTAATAATTATAATTTCAAACAAAGTACACATTTAATCTAACTCGAATTTCTTGAGTTTTTGCACAAAAGTACAACTTTAAATTGTTTTTTAAAAATATAATGTATGAAAATGTTTACTTTATTTCATAAAAAATTATAAATTAAACTCTTCAAAGAAACATTTGACAATATAAAATCATGTTTAAATATTATATCACAATTAATCCTTAAATCAAGATGATTGAATTATTTTTGATTTTTAGTGTTATATACTATAATAAATTAATAAATTAATAATTGGATATAATTGTTAAAAAACAAATATTTATGTTTTTTCACCCAGGGTTCGCTTGGAACAAAAAATAATATTTTTTGAATAATGATTAATTTTCTAGAAAATATTTTCACTTTATGGTGTTTGGCTAAAAGTCAGAAAATGATATTTTAGAGTTAATACCTAAAATAGTCTTCGATTATAGTGATTTTTTTCATTTTCATCCTAAACGACTTTGGTGATCTAATATAATCCTAAATTTATGTGTTTTTGCTCAATTTAGTCATCCGTTTGTTATTCCGTCAAATTGATGTTAACTAAAGGGACAATTCAGTAATTTCAATGTTGGTCTTTCTTTACTCTCCGCTCTCGAAGCGCGAAATCCCTCTTTTCTTAACGAATTACTCCTAGACCTGCAAATCAAATTTTTATATTCGTAAGTTTAGGAGTAATTCGTAAAAGAAAGAGAAATTTGGCACTTCGCCAATCTAGGAGGAAAGAAATGCTAATATTTAAATTATTGAATTGTCAGTCTATTTAACACCAAATGAACGAAATAACAAACGGAATACTAAAAGTTAATTGGGTCATAGATTTAAACCTGTGGGGGGAATGGGCTCCAGGGACAAACCAACTGAGCTGAGGAATTGAGGCCTAAAAGTTAATTGGGTCATATGAATAATTGAAATCTTTAAGCAATTTTCTTGGCCTAGACTAGGGATGTGCACAATTTAATAAAATATATGATTAATCAACCCAAATGAAATATTTCAATTAATAACCATTTTTAAATCAAAATATTTCAGTTTGTGATTGATTAACATTTTGGGCAAGTGCATGTGCAATCATTATTGGATGCACTATGGTCCATATAATTGTGTGGACCATAAATAAAAAGTACATTTTTAATATATTAAGGGTGCATTATTTATGTACGTAAGGTATATTTTGAAAGTACATTTTTAAAATATATTAAGGGTATATTATTTTATATAATGTACTTTCAATACAAAAATAATGTATTTTTAATATATTAAAAATGTATCTGATATTCATGATCCACACAATAATTTGCCGTGGATGTGGGAGCGTTATGCTGTGCAATCGTGTGCACCATGCAAGGTGCACACGGAATTGGATCCATAATTTCTATACTATAAATTTATAATTCTATACTATAGATTCATAATTTCTATACTGTAGATTCATAATTCTAAACTGTAAATTCATAATTCTAAACTGTAGATTCATAATTTCTAAACTGTAGATTCATAATTTCTATACTATAGATTCATAATTTCTATACTGTATAATTATCAAATTATGAACATATAATTCTGTGATTTGTGAATATAGAGTTCAACAATTGGGAATATGAACATTGAAAATTATGAACATAGAGTTTTGTAATTTGAATATAGAGTTCAATAATTATGACTATAGTATAGAAATTATGAATCTATAGTACAAAATTTATGAATTTATAGTATAAAAATTATGAATCCAATTCTGTGTGCACCATGCATGGTGCACACGATTGCACAACATAATTTGTCGTGGATGTGTAAGAGGATATCCTTACATATCAATCATTATGTTGTGGAACTTTGTCAACCTTGCAAGGTGAACACGATTCTATGTTCATAATTATAAAGCTATATATTCATAATTTTTGAACTTCATATTCATAATTATTGAACTCTATATTCACAATTATAGAACTCTATGTTCATAATTATAAAGCTATATATTCATAATTTTTTAACTTCATATTCACAATTATTGAATCTCTATATTCATAATTACCGAACTATATATTCATAATTATGTTCACAGCTCTATGTTCATAATTATAGAACTATATGTTCATAATTGTTGAACTATATATTAATAATTATGAACAGTTTTGAAACCGTGTTCACCTTGCAAGGTGGACACGGTTCCACAACATTTGCCCTTACATATGATTTCGTTCTCACAAGAATTGACAATAGGAATAGAGCTTTAAGATTTCAAACATAAGATATTAATGTTCCTCATTGAAATCTAGCCAAAACATAAGGTTGATTTTGATACAAACACAATATCAAACAGCACACTTGAATGAATACAAATGAGGTCAAGATAGTGAAATCAAATTAAGAGCAAGAAGATGAGTCAATTGAATAGATGATAGATGTCATGTAACCACATGGAAGTCTTTCTCAAGGTCATCTCACCTACTAGAATATTCAAGGACATTCTCATGACTCAAGAATGTCTAAGAAACATTTATCAAACATATGAGGCCTGTTTACTAACTGAAAAATTGGAGAACAGAAAACAGAAAACCTAAAACATGTTTACTAACATAGTTTTCCATTTTGAAACTGGAAACAATTTTTCAGTTTTATAGCAAACTAGAAAACTATTAAAAACTGTCTTCTAAACGGAAAACAGAATCATTTATCATCTATTTGGCTATATGTCACTATAACTACACTCTCACCATTATATACTTACTTATTTATTCAATACTATGATTATATTCATTATACTCTTCTTTTACTTATCATCATATTCTGTCTTTTCTACTTGCATTACTTATTTAAACATAACTTATTTGCTTATTCTTAAAGTTAGACATTATTCACATTGTCAAAATTACAAATTGAAATCTATACCAAGTTTTATATTTTAATTGAACTTAATTGGTTATTGATTTGAATATTTTTATTTATGTTATATCATAATACAAGTTTGTTCCGGGTATCAGATATTGAAATTTCACATATATTACTATATTAGAATTCAAAGTAAAAATTATGGGCCTGTTTACTTCAGAAAAATGTTCTTTGTTTTTTATTTTCTAATTTTCCAATTTCCATTCTCTGTTTTCTATTTAGAAAACTTGTTTACTAACACTCATTTTTTTCAAATTTCTTTTTTTTTTTTTTAGACTAACGTTATAAAATTAACACAAAATTAATTTTGAGTAATTTTAAAACCTTGTATTTAAAATATTTTTGGATATGTTTGGTTTAAATTGAATAAATATAGTTTTTCATTTAAATCTAATATATGTAAGATTTTTACATTTAATATCCGAACCAAATTCATATCCGTATATCTAACTAAAAACATATCGTAATCGATAACCTATTAAGTTAATCTAAAATTTAGTTAAGATAATATTTATATTTTTTAGCTAATATTTTTTGATATATTCATTTGAATGACTTGTATACATATAATTTTTACTTTGATATCTAATATATGTGAAATTTCATTATCCAATATCCGGAACAAACTTGTACTACGATATAACATAACCTAAAATATTCAAACCAATAATCTATCGAATTCAATCAAAATCTAAAACTTGGTGTAGATTTCAAATTTTAATCTTGATAATGTGATGTCTAACTTTAAACGTAAGCAAATAAGTTATATTTATATAAGTAAATGCGAGTACAAAAAGATAAAATATGGTGATAAGGAAAAGAATATGATAATTAATGTAATTATAGTAATAAATACATATGTAATAATTAGATAATGGTAAGAACGTGATTATAATAATATATAGTCAAATAGATGATAGATGATTCTGTTTTCTATTTAGCAAACATTTTGTAGAAGTTCTCTAGTTTTCTAAAAAACTGAAAAATGTATTTAGTTTTCAAAATGAAAAATTATGCTAGTAAACATGTTTTTGGTTTTCTATTCTTTTAATTCTCCATAAAATAGGAGAAAATTTTCAGTTAGCTAGTAAACGGGCCAACTTTTTATCAAAAGTGATTCTTTTGCGAGAGTAAAATTCTAACTTTGTATCCTAACAAAGAAATTGAGGAGAAGCAAAACAAGCATGTGCATCGCCTACTTCAACCAACATCTATGAAGAACGTGAGTTATATCGTCCTTTTGAGTCCATCCAATTTGTTGAATTGAAGTTTAACCTAACAGAACACTTTCGAACTATATTTGAAATATATTGCTAATTTGAATGAGTTACTGGATTATATCTTTTTTTTTTTTGGTGGGATTGGCCCGAAAGACGGGAAAGATACTACCAAACACTGGATTATATCTTAAACTAACACTAACTTGACTAGGTTTTGTGTAAACAAGAATCACAGCAAGTAATAAGGCAATTTATATCCTGCACCACGGCGCGCGTTGTATTGTGCGCTCAGATGCAAAACGACGTCATTTCATTTTTTTTTTTTTTTTTTTTTTTTTTTGAAATTTCGCTACCCAGTGTTTGGCAGTTAATTTTCTTTAAAAAAAACTTATGTTCAAAAATGTACATAATGTTATACTAGAATACACATAATTGTATACATGAATGTACATAATTATATAGCAAAATACATATACTCTTTTTTTAAAAGATAATACACATAATCTAACATAATACATAATAAACATAGACTTTGAACATAATACACATCAACTCTTAACATAATACACAAAAATTGCCTGATTCGGATGTACATAATTGTATAAAAAAATATACATAATTGTATAAAAAATGTACATAATAAAAAATATACATAATTATATAAACAAATATACATAATCATGTCAACTTCCTACCGCACCTTCCAAAACGACGTCGTTTTGGGAGGCACGGGACGCACAGTGCCGAGAATCGGTACGGTCACTGACATGTAATTATGGCAACCCCTCCTTTCCCGCCGGTTACAGTCTCGAGGCATGCCTTTTC